CCCGGGACAACACCTGGCCGCGCACCTGGCCACACCTGCCCGGTTATGGCCGCAGTTAGCGTTACTGCAACGGGAAACGGCGATACGTAACGACCGGGGGCAGCGGGGGCGCGGCAGGACGAGGTTTATCTGGCCCCCCGGCCGAGGCGCGAGGGGTGCAGGCGGCGTCGCTATGCTGCCACTTGGAGCGCACACTTGTCGCGGGGAAATACCATACTCGGGCACGCGGCGCCAGGCGGCACCCGACCCGAGGAGGCGATGACGGGCAAGCACCCCCCGTAAAACGGGTACGACGCGCGACTGCGTCCACTCAGTATAAAACATACGCGCGTCAAAAGAACAAAGATCGAGAACAGGTCCGCAATATCTGACGAAAATTTGACTGAACTTTTACTGGCGTCTACTTTCGATCATCGGCTCGCAGTCAATAAAGCCGGTCCTTTATGCTCCACAGCGGGGGCCGACCGGCCGTGGGGCCCCCCGGCGGCAGGCGCCCCTTCAACCCGGTCGCCGAGCTGGAGCTGCGCGGCCACAAGACGCCCCGTCACCAGGAGGACTCGGACGACCCGCCCTTCAACTTCCAGGTAAGGTTCCTTCGGGGCGGCGTGGTGGGTGGAGCTGTCGGAAGTTATTTTCATCGGAAAAATTGACGCATACAAGAAACAAGAAAACTACTACAGAAAAACAGAGGAAATCTCAATTAAGGAAAAGGAAAAACTCAGCATAAAAATGAGAGAAAATCAGAAAAAATTAAGAAAATTCTAGTATGCGTGAATTTGTAGTGATGTACTGTACGCTGGGGAGCTGCTCGCGTCGCGCACTCTCCTCTCTCGGCCTCAGCCCGCCGGGCGGCGGGTAGGCCTCGCGCTGCGCACCGCTCTGCTCGCGCGGCCTACGCACCGGGCGGCTCCCGCTGGGCTGCTTCTTGTTCTCGTGTGGCGCCTTTTTTTCCTCAATCGCTTATTGAAGTTTTTGCTAAATTTTGCGCAAACATTTCTTCTCGTGCGATTCTGACATGGAGAAGATATCTGTGTGGGACTCGTTCCGCTCCTCCAGACACCGGGTCTGAGTCCTCCTCGCCTTCACCTTCTCCACGTTGCCCCCGCTCTCGAGACGAGAGCCTCTAAGCCACCTGTTTCACGGGGCTCTGAGTTGACAAACAGTCAGCGTTAGTGGACAGCTCCTTTTCCCCACAATCCCCATCACAACAGACGGACGCCCCCCCCTCGTAACCTCTTCACCCCTTCTGCAGCCACCTGCACCCCCTCCCCCCTCTCCCCCAGTGAGCTCGCGTGCAATCGGCCCCCCTCCTTCCCCCGCGGGTGTGCGGGCGGGGCGGAGCGGGGCGCGGTGCCCTGCCGAGGCCCGCTATCTCGTAGCAAGGGGCATAACTCACGACAAGAAAAACAGTGCCCCGGCGGTCGAATGCAGCCCTAACTCAAGGAATGCAGGCGCAATAAGAGCCACGGCCTTACTTAGTGCTTTTATTTGTATTTCTTCCGTGCGCGCGAGGTTTACCCATTCTTTCTTCTCGTCTTTCTCACTTGCAGCAACATTTGTTCTATTTCTTCTCATCCTCCTCTCTCGATATATTTGTTGTTGTTGTTGTTGTTGTTGTTGTTTTTTTGCCGTTGTTTT